TGAAGCCTACCCAAAACGGATTTATCACAAACATAAGATAAAAAGAAAAGAATTTTCAACTCAAGACTCCAAGAACTTCGAGAGAGACAGGGATCGTGTTTCTCACGAGTAGTAAAGGTGACTGTTGATGTATGTCGGCAAGGAGATTACGGGTTACACGTCCTCCCATGCCGTACGATGAATTCATGTTTTTAAGTTCGTCTCACTACTGTGTCAATCTCTCTACGTGGGTACCTAATATTTACTAATTCACTCATTAGAAATATTCCAAGACGCCAATCAGCTTGCTTATAAGTTGCTCATAATTATTAAACCTATAAGTTGTCTTTCGATTGCAGATTAGATTATGAAATTGCAGGATAGGCATAAAACCTTTAGTCCTCCGAAATGGCAACATATATTGTTGTATTTCACATATCACACGATAACGTGATATCTTTGAGTCGTTATATTATATAGGGGTATACAGTTACCACAATACCATAAAAAATTGTGAACGCCAGTAGTGTGCTTGCTCTAAACACTATTAAATCTATAATTATTTGATAATACATATGTCTAAATTACTAAGTTTTAGGGAGACCACTAACTCCGCTACTGGGAAACTTAGTTCAAACAAGAACTGTGTTAAACTTCAATGTACGTAAGTTTTGTAACAATTAACAATTAACTTAAGCAAAGTTCTAAATTGTATTACTAATTTCAAATAATTAATAACATATTATTTAAGATTTCCTAGTCATCACTATCTTTTATACATGATCCTTTTCTGGTCTGGCTCACATTCGTTAACCCTATTAAGTGCGGTCAATCGCTCGCTAACTTTATAATATAGGAGGATTTTTCCTATATTTTAAAGTTAGCAATTGAGCGCACACTTCTATTTCTACTCCCTTTAGATTTACATTTCCTGTCCTATAGGCGTCATATCTTTACCTTCTACCTAAAGGATGTCTTTAAGAGATTGCTTAGCATTCAGACCACCATTTGTACTAGTGTTTTATTTATTAAAACTTTCTGTCTGGTGCATTAGTTTTTAAATGAAAAAAATATATACTGAACAAAATTTCACCTACATCGTTAAATTACTTATCTTCCTAATATTTTTAGTCTTAAGGTTTATCGTAGAAATGGCTGAAGAAAATATGAACAAAATTTCACAGAATGTTGTCAAATATGAGTTAAAATGTAGACTAATAAAATCTTAGATTAACACAAAAGTCGAGATATATATTATATCTTATTTTTTAATGTAAATTAATTAATATATACAACGATATCCATCATTTTATTAATAAATTAATAGATAACGTTGTGTATACTAATTTATTTATTTTTGTCGTTTGATTATATAGTGTATACAAATGTACAAACGAACTAAACTGCAGCCGCCACTAGTTATAAATATGGGGCTAGTCGACACTCACTATTCCGGTAACCATTACACAACCGGTTAACCGGCACTGTCGCCGCTTTTCATCTGATAAACTGCGGACATGTTTTCGCGACATAAACCGGATATATCCGGTTATATCTGAATTTATGTCGTCCTCATCTTACAACGTATATTCGTATTAATACGTATATTCGAGAACATTCAAGTCAAGAGTGAATGGGCGCTATTTGAGCCTGTCGCATCATCACTTAATATCAGGTAAGATTACGTTCAAACGTGCTGAGATTTTGTAATAAAAAAGAATAGAAAGCAACATCCGGGTTTAACGGATATCTAATTTTTTTCCGGATTTATATTACCAGACTTATTCGAATGACTTATAGCTTCACCGGACGATAGGGGGCGAGTGCAGATGGCACTCCAAACCCGCGGAAGGACTTATGGAGCGGCTGAAGGCCAACTCATGCCTGACGAATACGACTTTAGTCTAAGGGCACCGCTAGGGATTCGAACCTCGGCTCAGACTATCATAATTTCGATCCCCGTTTGAATTTGACGGGGAATCAATGGACGTACGTACTTACAGTGGCCTAAACACAGTATAACTGGGGGGAAAGGGGATTGTTAGTAATGTGGACTTAATAACCCATTACTAGCAATGTACCATGCCAGGTTGACCTCCACGCGGTTCCCCCTGGAAATCATCGTGATAAATTCTTGGTGAATTTGTCACGATGGGCTAACTGACCTCATGTTCATCTTATCATCCTCCACTGGTGCCCCGCCAGCGTAAACCGTTAGCGCAGGCGGGTGCACCATTCCATTAACATCCTTAAAAAAAAAAACACAGTATAACTATGTTCATGAGTTTAATATACTTCGGTACTATGTTTTTCGCGATAATTGTTTAAATTTTTTTGTATTGTTTAAATTTTAATTCAACAATAATTTAATGTAGCATATTTTAGTTACTTGCGAACTTCATTTTTTATTAATAGTTGAAGCAAAAGCTTTGTAAACCATTTACATAAATTGCGCGGACGAAGGTATATGAAATTACGCACACTTGCAGTTTATATAGAGAAGGAATATTGAATGCTAAATTCAGTATATTTTATTTTTAAATATTTTTTTTAAATTACCCATAAAAATACATTATGCAATAAAAAAACACACACACACACAAATATTTGCCACACACACTCATATTTACTGTTTTGTTTAATTATTATTGCTTGTTCAAAGATCTGTTTGTATTTTCTATTATGGTCAAATATCGACCACTGGGCGACTACTAGTTCGAATAAATATTAGTTCTATTCAAGTGTTTCCCGACACCCATGTCAAACTGATAAGCCCTTCATATTTACGTTTTAATATACATTACGGACAGTGTATCATTTTTCTTTGACAAAGGCGTATTCATAAATGAAGGACGTTATTCATTTTCGGCCGGCCGCCCGCGGCAGGTAATAATTTACCACGCTTACACGGCTGTTAACTTCGGATATTTTTGTGAACGCTGATATTTCACCGTTTGGGCTTATTTTGACGTGACATTGTCCACAGCGACGAGTTTAATAAGAATTGATAGTAATAATATTGAGTAAAAACAACATATACATCATCGAAGCATATGCATGATGATGATTGATGATTATGCATCCATCCTGTAAGGGCTCTAGTCATCACTAGGGCTCTCACGGGTTTTTTTTTATACCACTTAGGTGGTAAACTGTTACCGTAGCCTATAGACGCCTGAAACACCAGGGGTGTCACATACGCGTTGCCGACCCAAACCGGGATACTGCAAATTGAACAAATGTATGACAAACCTAGGTCTATGCACAACAAAAATCTGCAAAATTTGCCAAACTGAAGAGGAAACGTGAATGTATATAGTTGTAGCCCACTCATGCATAAACGAAATATCTCCTTTAGAAAGTTTACACTCTATCTTGAGGACATAGAAACCATCGCTTCTAAGAATATCCTTCAATTCTTGTCCCTGACGGGTCTAGGTAGCGAACTCTGAAATAGGGCGATCACAATAGATGTAAATAGGTCGCAGTGTTACAGGTCCAAGCACCTGACGATAGCCCAAACAACCCAGTAATAAAAGAATAGTAATAATTATTATAATAACCCTATATAATCCACACAGCGCCATCTAGTCCCAATCTAAGCAGACCTATTATGGGTACTAGACAACTGGTAGATATACTAATACATTTTTTTAATTCATACATAATGTGCATAAAACACCAATACAAGCTTTCCTGAGTTTCTATTATATATCATAAAATGTCTCTGTGATTGGTTTGGTCATCATGAAGGTGGGGAGCATGTTGGTGGGGTAAATGCCTTGAAATTCAGCTGCGTCACGGCACAAGCATTTGTATGCATGAGTATGATTGTTTTCTCAATTGGTACACTGGACTATTTATCTGTGTATAATATGAATTATATGTATTTACGTGAAATTTAAAAATTATTCTTATGTATAAGCTATATTATTGTAAAATTTCATCAAATGTAGTTTTTGCTTATCAATTATCTGTCCATCCATATTTATTTATTAGTTACATACATTTTAAATTTATATAACTAATATTATAAATGAACTAATATTTACATAACCTAATTGTACAACTAAGAACCTAAAACTAAAAAGGTTAAAAAAATAATAATATGATGACTAAAATATATTATTAAAAGTATCAGTATCAATCTTGGGTCTAGATGGTGCTTTGTAGACTAATTCTTTGTCCTGAGATCTTCTGTGATGTTATTATAAAAAAGATATATAAAAAATATTATTATAAAACAACATGGCAGTCTATTTTCTATGTATATTATGTATGTATTTAGAAAAAAAAAATTATCAGTTGTCTAGTACCCATAACACAAGCTTTATCTAGCTTAACTTGGGTCTAGATGGTGCTGTGTGAATTGTCCTGAGATTATTATTATAAAAAAAGATTATTATTATTATAAAACAACATGGCAGTCATTTGCTAATACATTCAGCAATTATTTGTGTTGAATAAAAAGCTTGTTAAGTCGTGACCCGGGTCTAACCCGGGAAAATTAAGGTCCATTGGCACGTCAACACGGATATCCGGCCAGTGATCGATGTCCGGATGTGACGGATAATGATAATGCGATACCTCCTCGTTTAATGTGTGGATATGTTCAATTTGATGACATAATATATAACAGTTATATACTAGCCACGCTTTACGGATTTACTCGCAATGTAATAAATAACCTTGGACAATTAACACAGCGCCATCTAGTCCCACGGCAAGCCGAGCTTGTATTATGAGTACTAGACAACTGATATAAATATATTTTTTTTGTAAATATATACATAATATACATAGAAAACTCCTAGACCGATACTAACAATCATACTCATGAATACAAATGTTTTCATCGTGCGAGGAATCGAACCCGCGATCATTGGAAGTAAAGCGGTGTGTTAAACCGCTAGACTACCGAGGCCGTGAATATATTTTTTATATTTTCGAATTATACAAACGTAGGGTGTAGCTGAATTTTAACATAAATAATTAACATAATGTTTGTCCGTTTGTTGCAGGGGGATATGCCTAACACTGCAGTAACCGGTTTTCAATGGGACAAGCTCTCTCCGGCCGAGTTTCAGCAGTTGCAGGAATTGGCATCCTGTTAGTATTATGTCATATCCCATATGTCTTATGGATGATAATGGAATGGTGCCCCCGCCTGCTCTAACGGATTACGCTGGCGGGGCACCAGTAGTGGATGATAAGATAAACATAAGGTCGGGTCAGTTAGCACATTGTGGTAAATTCACCAAGAATTTATCAAGATGGTTTCCAGGGGAAACCGCGTGGAGATCAACCTGACATTGTATTCCAATCAAATTTATCAAATTTTGAATCCAAATTAAGAAAACATCTTTCCAATGACTTTGGTTTAAAAATACAACATTAATTTATTGCAAATTATCAAAAATAACTCCCGCTTTCACTGGACTATTCATTGTTGATTTGTATGTAGTATATACTATACTACACTAAATATACATACATACATAATATTATGCATTATCAATTTATTACATATACATAACCTAATTGTACAACTAAGAACAAAATTAAAAAGCTTAAAAAATATAATATAATTATGTGTTATGTATGTATGTGTATTTATGTATATTTAAGTATGTGTGGTTATATATATTTCAATTTATTAATTTTATTATATTTATACCTACTTCCTTTTATTATTTTTATGTCATGTTATTTACTTAAATGCACCGCCCACTAATCTCTGTCTGCCCTATGGTTGATTGGTAGAAAATGCCTTATAGTATTAAGTCTGCCCTATACACCTGTGTTTTTATACTTATGTATTAAAGTTTTAAAAAATAAATATATTTTTGCTAGTCTATTATAAAATACATAGTAAACATATACACGCAAAATAGTTAACAGGGTGCGGCAAATATCTATTGCAATATCTAATGCTTGTCTATCTCTCTATGATAATGGATTGAAGTTTATTTCAGTAATTTGTAATCAATTAAGCTTATTGAATGGAGGGGGAATGGCCATCGGTTCAACTCCCATGTGATCTATTAGTATGATTAATAAAACTGGCAGGGTTGACAAACTTATTTCTACTTTATGTATTTGTAATGGTAAACTAACGGCCAAATTAATGGTAAGTGGTAGTAGTGGCGTATGTACATGAACAGCACGTTATAATGGCCATCTTCGTGGTATAAAACAGTGATGTTAGGGTGCTCCGTAACCGTAACCGAAACTATCGGATATCCGATAAAACATATCCGTAACCGTAACCAAATCCGAAATTAAAGTTTCGGATAATATATGATAGGGGCGGTGCCTAATTGAGACACGTTATGTAACCATTTTATTAGCTATTTGTAATTTTCTTTTGAAATTCCTTAAAAAATTATATCCGTAACTGAAATTATCCGAAACTAACGGATGATCTGAAATGATTTCATATCCGTATCCGTATCCGGTATAATAATCATTCCTATATCCGAAATCTACCCGTATCCGAAATTTCATATCCATAACATCCCTGGTATAAAACACACCCGTGATACCACTCATGCGTTGTCATTCCGGACGACTAAGATGGAATATCGTCAGCTTGTGTGCCAATTATATATTATACAATTGTTGTGTCATAGGTTTCGTGTTTATACTCCTCCGAAACGACTTGACTGACTTTGATGAAATTTTATATGTATCTTCAGTAGGTCTGAGAATGGGTTTATAACTACTTTTATAAGGATTAAGAGTGGCTCACCCCAGAAATATTTTTTCGTGTTTTCGACAATTTTTTTTATTTTTTGCCGTAAAAATACATACAAACCTAACTTGAGTATCAAAATAAATCAGTCATAGTTGACAGAACAGACCAGTACCTACAAGCAGCACTCGTTCACGAGTATAACGGGTGAGCCAGCCATCATTGCTCCACCATACTTTAGGGGAGACTAATGACCCATCCCACCACGCCACCACTGTGTATAAATGTGATTTGTATAATATATATATATAATGTAAATGTGAAAAAGTATCTCTGTTTGTTTATCTATTCATGCATGAACGGATTTAAAAGAAATCTCACATTCCATTTTTTAATGTGACTGATAAACATGTTTGTTTGGGATAACACATAGCCTATGTCCCTAATATAAACTATACTAGAGACATAGGCTATCTTTTATCCTAAAAAACAGATAAACTCGCCGGAAGCAACTAGTATCCTTGATTGCCCTTCAATTATGTTAACCGCAGCCCTAAATATAGAAACAGTCAGGTGCCCTTGTCGCTTCCTAAATGCCAAAATGCCAATTAATATCATTACGTCAGTGAGGAACAATAGTTTGCTATTTTCGATGATTACGGCTTATATATATTCATGAGTTTGTTTGTTTATGACACTTTATTGTACAGAAAAGTAGTAAATTTATGTAGGTATGCTAACGTTGACTTTATTTTTGCTAAATAATTGTATATTATAATTAGTATTAAATATGATAATAATATAATATCCTTGGACTATTAAACAGTGCCATCTAGTCCTAAGCTAGTGTTGTGGTTACTAGACAACTGATATAAATACTTAAATACATGTTTTCTAAATATATACATATTATACATAGAAAACACCCAGACCAATACAATAATAGTCGTGAATACAAATGTTTGCACTGCACGTAGATTCGAACCTGCGACAGGAAGTATCAGTAAGACGGTGTGCCTAATCCTAGCCACCAAACCCACTTTAATATACGAGAGAGTCGAAATTCTTAGCTTTTCATGGATACACCGTGCATCCGCCAGGTCCATCGTGTGGCAGAGAGGGAAACTTCGCGTAGTTCCCGGGACTTGTGACCCGGGTGTAGGTTTAAGGCCTTTTGTCGATGTACGTCAACACTCACCTTCGCCGCTCGTGTTTTTCCCTCCTAATCAAATCAGATAGGAGCTAGTGCAGCTTTTGATACACGTTCATGAAGATTTCAAAGTCGCGTACAGAATTTATTACGTAAAAGATTTCATACCGGATCCCGTACATGTTTCCGCGCACATCAAAACATTTCGTTTCCATGTGAGATTGTTTGTGCAATGATGACACCGTTTGTAAACATAGAAATTAAAAAAAACTAGTAACTGATATATTTTCATATGCTAGATACAAAAATATATCAGTCATTAACCCGCAGGTTCGCTTGCAGATTTCATCCCTTTCAAGATTATTTTTTCAGAAAAATATACTTACCTACCTATCTACAGTAAACAGTCAGACGGATGAGCTTACATTTCTCGATGTTATTGGTGTTTACTTCACAGGACAGTCAGTCAAAAATATAAGTTCGAATCAAATCAAAAATAATTTATTCATATAGGACATTTTAGTCACTTATGAACTTATATATAATATATTATATTTTTCCCTACTGTCCAGTTCTGTATACAGATTCAAATGAGAAGAACTAGCTAAAAACTCGACAGATTTTTTTTAACAGCCAGCTTTTTAACATTGTGTACATACGTCTAACATTAAGCGAAAATCCCGTGCATGAACTACTATTGCCAAGCACGCTTCGCATTCAAGAAATCGTTTAGTGTTTAATAGCTCAATAAATATGATTTAACAGATATTTTGAATTTATTTAAAGGTAATTCCAATATATCCTTATACTATATCCTTTTGTATTTATTGTATTTTTTATACCTATTCCTATAAAAGACTTTACTAAACTATAATTGACACACATATGTATGTTTTTATTTTTTTATATCTGTCAGATTCGTACTCACGATCTTTGTTTCTACGTGCTACGTAAATCACTAAGTCACATCGCTCTCAATCATTGCAAATAATACTGTATACAGCCCCGTATTGTAGGTTAATAATAAATTTAATTGCTTTCAGATTCCACGAGGAAACTTCAAGATGTGCTTAATGAGTTTTGCGAAGTTAAGAAACAGAGTCCAGACGGGGTAAGTGTTGATTTTACCTTGCCTATTCATTGCTTATAAAAGCTTGAAACAGTCAATAGGTACTTGAGTTTATATTGTAGGTACACTGAACAATATTGTTGCGTTATAGAGTATTAAATATACAGAGCTTGTCGGCAAGTGCTCGTTGAAATCTTGAAACATATTGCGTTGTAATACGAAACAATATAATACCGTCAATATTGTTTAAAGTTGTAGAGATTTTTTATTATTCATATATGATATATATACATATATATACAATTTCTGGTTGTCAACAGCTGATTACCAATAAGTAGGCAACTAATTCTTTTATATAAAAAAGCTTAATGCGACACATGTAGCACCAATAATGCCATTCCAAAGTAATAAGTTGTTTTTAGAATTTACTACAGTTTAGAAACAAATTACACTTTGTAGAACCACAGATAACATAATTGGTAAGAAACTTCTGGTGGCAGAATTAGATGAGCTAGAGATAAATAAACCTAAAAAGACTATTTGATACAAAGTTGATAAACCTGATAAACAATATACTATACTGTCAATTTCATTATTTAAGTATATGTTATGGAGTTCACAATATTTTGAATATTGTTCATGTTTTTAATTAAGTAATACCACTTTCTAGATGGAGCTAGTGCTCATGTTTACATTCTGTATTACGCTTCCTACTCTGTGTTATATTAGTAACTGAGTCTATATTTAGTATTAACAGGTAATACTAAGAACAACCTTCAAATCAAATCTAAGTTTATTATTGTACACCTACCCTTGTTCCAACAATATTACAAGGGTGGTAATATTTGTAGGTACAATAATAAAGTTGGTAAAACCGATTTGAATTTATAATCAATTTTAAAACATTTGACAATATTTAATTTAAAACTTACGACAGTTTAAGTAATTTTTCAACTGAAATCGTGTCGTGTTGAGTTCTGAAAGGTAATTTGAATATTTTAAACTGTTTCTCTAGTAGAAAGTTATCTTTGTCGACTTTTTAAGAAGTCGTCTACTTCATTCTCAACTATGTCATCTTAAATATCTTTCAACAGAGGAGAGTCTTTCAACATATACAGATATATTGAAGAAGAGAATTTCTAAAGTTCCTATTTTAGACGCTAAAACATATTTTGCTCAACGTTCCAGAAACTTTCGCTTCTCACACATAAACAATCAAATTTCCAACAAACAGTCATACACACAACAATTCTTTTATCTATGACAATGGAATGGTGTCCCTGCGATAATTTTTTACGCTGGCGGGGCACCAGTGGAGAATATAAAATGAGCGTGAAGTCAAGTCAGATAGCCCATCGTGTCAAATTCACAAGGGTTTAACACGATGATTTCCAGGGGAATTGATGGTCAACCTGATATGGTACATTGCTAGCAATGGGGTCATCGGTCCATATTACTAACAACCCCCTTTCTCCATACAATGAGTGTTATTATCATGTTGATATCGTGATGTGTGTGATGATATTCATGTATTAAGACGTCGTTTACCAGTTAACCATCAGGTAGGCCGTTGTTCTTGTTCCGTATTCCAATTACATAAAAAAATTAACCTCCCCCTTCGCAGTCGGTTGAAAATTAATAATGCCGCTAACAATTATTATAATATCTGAAAATTATTATTCAATATAACGAAATCAGCCCATCTCAAGTACTATCGAGTGGAGTACTCACTTGATAAATATTTATCTATAGCTATTGAAATGCATTTAATATTTACGTGCAAGTTGCGTGCTTTTTATAATACTAGCTTTTTCTCGCGACTTCGTCTGCTTAGACATGTAAGAAAGCTATGTCCGTCCTCGTAATAAAATCTATTTTCATGTGAATTTTTTTATTCCCCTGGACACTAAATACAGCGCCATCTATATCAATTGTCTATCTTGTAATATGGATACTAGACATAGTATCTTATAATACAATATGTTTTGCTAAAATAATAAAAAATGTGTTTTTTTTTTTAATTCACTGATATAGAACTTATTGCAATTCTAGACAGGCCAAGTTCTTTTAGAAGATATTATCGTGGTACATATTCCGTTTTTATAATATTATTTGAGTATTATGAACCGTGAAAAAACTTTTAGACAGTATTTCCTAATCTTAAACATTACATAGAATAAAATAAAGTCGCTGTCGCTGTCCGTTCCATTGTATGCTTAAATCTTTAAAAATACGTAACGGATTTTGAAGCGGTTTTTTTCAGATGTAGATAGAGTTATTCAAGAGGCAGATTTATATATATAAAGCGTGCACACCCGTTCGAAGCCGGGGTGAGTAGCTAGTATTATTATAAACAGGAAAGTTTAAGTATAGATGGATGTTCGTTACTCTTTCACACAAAAACTGCTTATCGCTAATGCGATGTGATGAATCATAATTGATGAAACTTTACAGTCATGTAGCTTGTGCGTCAGAGTAACATATAAGCTATATTTTAATCGAAATTTAATGCGTGTGAAGATGCGGACACAGCTAGTAATATATATATATATATATAAAATTATAAGAGTAATGTTACCTCAACTATTTTGACCAGGTAAAGTTAAAAGTGTTTATAAACCTATAACTTTCAAACCGATGGCTACGTTAATTGAGTTTCGTCCGGGTCACAGGTCCATTTCAACTGTATCATCCCTCCTACACGCTTTTGTTTCATTTAATGAATTTACAAAATGAACAATGGACCTTTCATAATCCATTCATAGCGAATAAAACAATATAACAGGTATCTCGACCTATCTGTCTATTAATATATGTTGTGTTTTAATTTTAAATAGTCTGTAATACTGCCAATATCATTGTTCTTGTATACGACTAGCTTTTGCCCGCGACTTTGCTTAGGGGTGGAATTTATTAAAATCCTTTCTTAGAGGATGCCTATGTTATAGTAGCTTTATGTATGCAAAGTCTCAGCCCGAACGGTTTATAATTGACAAAGTTTTATACAAAATTTCATCCCCTATTTTATCCCCTTGGGGGTGAAATTAATCAAAATCCTTTCTTAGCGGATGCCTACGTCATAACATCTACCTGCGTGCCAAATTTCAGCTCGATCCGTCCAGTGGTTTGGGCTGTGCGTTGATAGATCACTATGTCAGTCACCTTTGAGTTATATATATTTAGATTACATTACACTTTCAGGTACTTATAAAAGACTAGCTGCAGATCAGCTAGTCTTTTATAAGCACTTACTTGACATTGACGGCCTTGGTGGTCTAGTGGTTTTCTTTCGATGTTCGTGTGTTCGATTCCTCGCACGGTACAAATATTTGTATTCATGAGTATGATTGTGTGTATCGGTCTGGGTGTTTTCTATGTATAATATGCATATATTTACACAAAAATGTGTCTATGTATTTATATCAGTTGTCTAATACCCATAACACAAGCTCTGCCTACTTTGGGATTAGATGACACTGTATGAATTGTCCTGAGATATCTTAATCTTATTCGTATTATAAATACGAAAGTTTGTGAATATGGACGAATGTTTGTTACTCTTTCACGCAAAAACTACTGAACGGATTTTGATGAAACTTTACAGTAGTATAGCTTATACATCAGAATAACTCATAGGCTATAAATTAAAAAGATATAATGTAAATTAAGTAAGTGTGATGCAGACGAAGTTGCGCGGGTCAGCTAGTATATGTTTTATAAGTAATCAAATTCTATTTTCGCTAACCAAATAACATCTTGGAAGTAAGGCCGGTCGCCATGGTTACGGCGAAGTGAAATTGATGGGGGGTAAATATGAGGTGAAGTGGGTAAATACTTCAAAGTTATCGTCCTGTGTACCTTCAATTAACCTACGCTGAGAGAACTTCTCTTATTTTTTTCTGATGTTAGTTGCCATGGCGTAACGCCTGGTATATTGCTGTGTGTGGCACAATAAGCTGACACCGCTACCGGGAACAGCAAATTACCAAGAATATAGACACCTAACTTACATTATTAATTGTTACATTTATGGCAGTCTTGTTCGATCATTATACATAATTATACATTTTATACTTTGATAATTTTATTGTTTTAATTAAATAAAATATATTGTTAGGGAAACTACTCTGCTACCAAAATGTTAGGGAATTTACTCTCTGTATATATATAGGGAATATAAATAATAGTGGAAGCGTCAGTCACGTACCTGTATGGTTCTGCGGATTTCTTGGGCTTCAGGGTCTCGAAGATATCTTCGCTAGCTTTCCAGTTTCACAGTAGGTTTCACAGTTCTAATTTATTTTAATTCACAACACAATGCGCGCGCGTCATGGCCGCCGTACAGTCGGTTCAGTACTAGGTAAGGGAGGGGAAGGAAAGACGCGGGAACCGAAAACTAACGGACTCTAATATAATAATCTGTGCTTACGATGTTACAGGGTAGATTTTGAACATATATTTTTTAAAACGCAAATATCGCCCGCCGTAACATAAGTCTTCTTTTTTATATACTCTGCTTTTTTTTATATTGTGTTGTAAAATGTGTGTGTGTGTGTAGCGGTGGTCTCCATGATGTAGCGGTTCAGCACAACGCTTTTCTTCCGATGGTCACTTGGTCGATTCCTCGCACGGTAAAAACATTCGTATTCATGATTATGAGTGTTTGTATCCGTCTGGGTGTTTTCTATATTATACTATATATGTATATACAAAAAAAAATATCTAAGGATCTATTTGTATCAGTTGTCTAATGCCCATATTTCTATTTATTTACATAAAAAACATATTTATTCACATCACAACTGGTGTCTGTCTAGTCTCCATAACTGACTACCTCGGTGGTCTAGCGGTTTAACACACCGCTTTACTTCCGATGGTCGCGGGTTCCATTCCTAGCACGGCACAAACATTTTATTCATGAGTATGATTGTTTGTGTCCATCTGAGTGTTTTCTATGTATAATATGTATGTATATACGAAATAAAAAATCGATGTATTTGTAACAGTTATCTAGTACCCATAACACAAGCTTTAGCTACCTT